CAACCAATTTTATCATGAGTATATTCCTATTGCCTAAAGTCCTTGGATTGGCCCCTCAATAATAGCCTTTTTTGGATAGGAAATCACAAGTATACATGCATTTGATGTCCATACAAGGCTGCATTTATATTTGTGGAGAACATTTATTCCTGGATCTTTTCATACCACAGAAACAACAAAAATACAAAAATATACAATTTATCTACTTGAAAATTTAAAGAATACAAGACTGACTTACACTGGCTCTGTATGCAAAACATCATTTGGCGCATGTCAATGTGATGTGTCAGAGCATGAGAAACTCTGTGATTGCCATGGTAACAAACTGCCATGTACAGTTCCAATGTTTTGGCATGAAACCTTGAAGAAGAAAAAACATACAATATGTCAGTCCTTTTCCTGTATAGTGTAAACATTGAAGGTTCAACGACCCCCTGATCTAAAGATATACTAAATCTTACAAAGATATACATTTATAGTACTTACTCCAGTAGTGATGTGTTTTCCACCAGTTCTAAAATATCAATACTTCTATCTTCTTCTGGTATGTACACACTGAGCATTTCAACTGTAAAAATTAATAAGATTTTTTTTTCAAATTGTCAAAATCAAATTTATCTTCCCATATCTATCAAAATCAAACAACTGCTATTCCTACCTGCATCATCACACAGCATGCTCCACCCTTTGATTTCTGACATTTTGAGGGTGTGTATCTTGAGACTGTTTGAGGGTACTCGACCCCAGCAGCTGGGGTTCAGGACTTGTACGTCCAGTCTGGGGGGACAAGCTGGAATTACCTGTTTGGGTCCCCTGAACACAGCAGCAGATAAGGGTAGTGTGTACTAAAAATAAAAAATAACCCAATATTCCCATTATGAAGTGACTACTGGTACACAATACTTAAATCAAAAATATAACTGCATGTACATATATGTTTCTGTGCATTATTAACAAGAGGGCCAGGGGCCACAGCGCTCACCTGAGCACATCAGGCTTGAATTTACCCCCCCCCCAGGCGTTCATCATTTGAACAATCTAGAATCTACACTACCTGAGGATGATTCCATATGAATTACACTAATCATAGCTTTGAAGTACATGAAAAGAAGATTTTAAAATGTTTCCCTATATATATCCCTATGTAAAACTTGGGTCGGCCATTTTGGCCCCACCCTTGCCCCGGGGGTCATGATTTAAACAAACTTGAATTTACACTACCTGAGGATGATTCCACATGAATTTCATCTTTCCTGGCCCAGTGGTTCTGGAGAAGAAGATTTTTAAAGATTTTTTCCTATATATTCCTATGTAAAACTTGGGTCGGCCATTTTGGCCCCACCCTTGCCCCGGGGGTCATCATTTGAACAAATTTGAATCTACACTACCTGAGGACGATTCCACATGATTTTCGTCTTTCCTGGCCCAGTGGTTCTGGAGAAGAAGATTTTTAAAGATTTTTCCTATATATTCCTTTGTAAAAATTGGGTCGGCCATTTTGGCCCCATCCTAGCCCCAGGGGTCATCATTTGAACAAATTTGAATCTACACTACCTGAGGATGATTCCACGTGAGTTTCATCTTTCCTGGCCCAGTGGTTCTGGAGAAGATGATTTTTAAAGATTTTTCCTATTTCTGTCTTTTTTAAACTGGGTCGGCCATTTTAGCCCAACTTTTGCTCCGGGGATTATGATTTGAACAAACTTAAATCTACACTACCTGAGGATGATTCCACATGAGTTTCATCTTTCCTGGCCCAGTGGTTCTTGAGAAGAAGATTTTTTAAAAATGCCATTAATTTTTCTCTAATTCATAATTATCTCCCCTTGGAAAAGGGCGTGGCCCTTCATTTGAACAAACTTGATTCCCGTTCACCCAAGGATACTTTGTGCCAAGTTTGGTTAAAATTGGCCCAGTGGTTCTTGAGAAGAAGATGAAAATGTGAAAAGTTTACGACGACGACGACAACGACTACAACGACAACGACAGACAACGGACAAATTTTGATCAGAAAAGCTCACTTGAGCCTTCGGCTCAGGTGAGCTAAAAATTTAAAGAAATGGATCACAATTAACTGCCTCCCAGAATTTTTAAAATTTTATTTTTCCTTTAAACTACTGGTATATTAAAATTCTGATTTTAAAAGACATTTCTAAACTGTAGAAACCTTTGTATGACCCAATTCAAACTGCAGCATCTCTTTAATGGTTGGTTCACAGATGACCGCTGGAAACAGACGAGTTCCTGGCTCCACCTGGTATTTGTTGGCCACCTCTTTACCATTAACAGTGAAGGACAGGAGCCCAGTGCTGGTGTCAATAAAGCAGCCCACCACAAACCCCGGGGAGGCCCGCTTCCCTGTACTCTCCTGACTCAGGCCTGCATACCTCTGCTGAAGGTCTCCTGCCGATACCATGTAACAGTTCTTCCTGCTGACACTGAAATATTTACAGTTTGTATTTCTTATTCAAATGACTAGTTAAATTCTGATAAAGTAAACATATCAAGTCTATTGTACATGTAGCTGTGTTTATATCAGGTTCATTACCTTTGCTTCAGAGTATGATCAGACTCTAGTGTTGTTAAGACAACATGTCTTGTTTTCTTCATATCAAAAGCAGCTTCACTGAAGTGGAAACCTGGAGTCACCCAGCCCACAAACACCTGAGCAGGGTCCTGTCCTGGTAAAACTCGCACTGCGTAGTGATACTCATCAATCATGTCAGCCATCGCCTGTAACTCGCTCAACTCTGCATCAGAAATCTCGGCATCGGATCCTTCGCTGTGGCGCCTTCGGCCAATGGCATCCTGGAATTCATAAGGAATCATCCCCCTGGGAGCCTCAATGTTAATGACAGGAGCCTGTGTTGAGCCCCCTGCATCACTCTCCATGGAGTTGCCTGTCCGTGACATGGGCAGGGTGGCTGCCTTGTTGGGCGGTTTATGGTGCTCCTTGTGACTGTGGCCAGGGTGCACTCTTCTGTCTATACTTCCATACTCCACACTCCTAGTTCTCTTACCATCCTGTTGAGTGTCTTGTCCCTTTGATTTCTTGAAGATACTGGGAAATGGGGATCTCCCTGTCTTGGACTTCTTATCTCCGATGGACTTGGCGGTATCCATGAGTTTGTCCCCCAGGAGAGATAACTTGGAGGAGGATCTCTTCCCCTCGGGAACATTCAGCCCTGGCTTGTCTGTGCCACTGAGACGAGACTCACTGGAGGCGGGTTTAATTCTGGATGTCGACATCTTGTCCTGTGATGAATCATCTAATGAGTGGCGACCACTCTTGTCTAGATATTTCTTACGACGATCACTAGCTGTGGATTGATTGAAGTCTGTGTCCTCTGAATAACCAGCTGAAAGTACAAGACATACAGATGAAATTTTTTACAAACATGAAGAGTCCTTTACCTGTCACAATTCTAAACTAATAGAAATAGTACAACATTTTATCTACTGACACTTACATTTTCTGTAGTCTGTGTCACCATTCATCATGTCCTCTGCATATTCCTCATCATCTTCATCTAAAATCATTTAATGTATCTAAATTAATGGATTTCAAATATTTGATAACAATCAGAAGGGAAAAAATGTACGCTTTACATATTTTTTTTTTTTTATTAAATGACTAAGCATTCAATGTTATAGTCTTATAGAAATCTGACTAGACAAACCACCTGTTAATGCACACATATAGCATACAAATACCGTAACATTATGTAAAATGCACATGCTGGACAAACAATGTTTATATAATAATTTCCTCTCTACATCGACTGAAAGTTGTTGTTCATATTATTATTCACACAACCAAAAATCTGAGATTTGATAATTTTATTAATTTTTAAACCATATTTCTTGTACTATGCATGCATCTTAATCCCCTTTTGTTGGAACAAAATCCCAGTACTTTTCATAAGCTATCTATGAACAAGCTTTATAATGAAATTTCTTTCATCATAAAAATAAACATCACATTGTAAACATACAATGCTGTGACAAGGAACACCTGGACAGGTATAAAGGTGACATCTAACCAGACTTACGTATGGAGGTTTCCCCATTGACGGGGGCTACAGGGGCCGCCTCTGGCGGGGTCACGTCACTGGGGCCACTGCTGGAGGGACTGCTGGCTTGTTTAGTATCTGCTGTGTAAAAATCATGCCATTCCAAGTCCATGCTAGACACTTAGTTAATCAGTTCTCTAAGTTATCATGCAGCATCTAACCACTATAACTGACATTCTTATACTGTATAATTATTTAATTAATTCAAATCTGTAGTTGTCTCTTTATCAATGTGAATTTTAAGTTGACTTGATGAGTTTTAATATAAATATCACCAGCTAGTAAATTGCAAGCATTAAGTTTTAACCTACATGTAGTTAGTTAGTCAAAGACCATCCTATATTCTATTCAATCTCACAATCAATCAATACATAGTGCTTTTTATGCCCTTAAGCGTAATTTTATAACTTTCACCACACTCATGAATTTCCCCCTTTCAACAACCAGTGTCTTTAACATTGGTCAGTGTTTACCTGTTAGGATTCGGCTGTTGTCCAGAGACCCGTTCTCCATCGTTGTGTCCAGATCATTGAGAGAGTAGCCACTTTCTTCCTGGATGTCCATTTCATGTCTACGAATGTTCTCCAAATTCATGCGTCTTTCATATGCTGTGGGATATGTCGCAGACCTGTTTTACAAAAGGAGGACATGTGGTTACATATATATTAGTTATTATCAAATAATGTCATCAAATATTCACAATTTTTTACCATTTTGGAAGTCTACCTTGTGACAAATTCATCTTTGCAGATAACAGGAAGCCCAAGACGAAGATATTCCAGATGCACCTTCTCCAATGTTCCAAAGGTTTTTGATAACACTTTTAAACAAGGTGTGACATTTTTCCTGAAAAAGAGCAACAGTTTTATCTTTGTTATCAAAAGATAACCTACATTTAATCATTACAATTAAAACCAAGCACAACTAGAACTGTCCAATCGGGACAAAATACCCCCCGCTGGGTTTTTCAGAAGTAAGTTTTTGTATAATAAAGATATGTATCAAACACGAATTATAAAATTTTTCTTCCAGTGACCTTGAACTTCCCCAAGGTCAAGGTCATGACACACCCTTGGGTCATGGGCAATCTTTGAGTGAAATAAGAACCTACCAAGTTTATCAATAAGAAAGATATGGACCGGACAAGAATTATTAAATTTTTCTTCCAGTGACCTTGAACTTCCCCACATGACCTTGGGTCAAGGTCATGACACACCCTTGGGTCATGGGCAATCTTTGTATGAAATGAAAACCTACCAAGTTTATCCTTAAGAAAGAAATGGACCGGACATGAATTATTAAATTTTTCTACCAGTGACCTTGAACTTCCCCAAATGACCTTGGGTCAAGGTCATGACACACCCTTGGGTCATGGGCAATCTTTATATGAAATGAAAACCTACCAAGTTTATCCATAAGAAAGATATAGACCGGACACGAATTATGAAATTTTTCTTCCAGTGACCTTGAACTTCCCCAAATGACCTTGGGTCAAGGTCATGACACACCCTTGGGTCATGAGCAATCTTTGTGTGAAATGAGAACCTACCAAGCTTATCCATACAAGATATGTGTCAAACATGAATTTTTTTAATTTTTCTCCCAGTGACCTTGAACTTCCCCAAATGACCTTGGGTCAAGGTCATGACACACCCTTGGGTCATGGGCAATCTTTGTGTGAAATGAGAACCTACCAAGTTTATCCATAAGAAAGATATGGACCGGACACGAATTATGAAATTTTTCTTCCAGTGACCTTGAACTTCCCCAAATGACCTTGGGTCAAGGTCATGACACACCCTTAGGTTATGAGCAATCTTAATGTGGAGTAGTAGATTCTAATGTCCCTCTGTAAGAAAGATATGGACCGGACACGATTGCACAGACAGACGGACAGACGGACAGACAGACAGACGGACAAGGTGATTCCTATATACCCCCCCAAACTTCGTTTGCGGGGGGTATAATAAAAAGAATCTGCATTCATTAAATTACAACGATATATGGTATAAGTACATGCAAAGAGAAGCATTTAGAGAAGAGCCAAGTGAGCAGAATTTTTTGTATACTGTAGAATCATCATTCTTCATGGGGGGCCAATTTTTAAGGATTTGGTGGGTCACCCTTACCCACAATTTTACATCCCCATAAATATTTATTTTGTTAACATATTGATTCATTCAACCATCATATTTACAAATAACCCACAAAATCAGGCCCCCATAAACAGGTCAAATTTTGCTTGCCAACAAACGTTGATCTCCTGAATTAAAATGATTCCACATTAATAAGTTGTATGATACATACGCCCCGGGGACTCTCTGTACTTGTAGTCGGGGATGGTCCTCCCCAATGTCACCAAACAAAGCCAACTCTTTCCCATACCACAGTGTCATCTGGCGGGTCATATTGCTGTAAATATAGCACGATTCTCTTACCAGTCACAAAAGCTCAATACAAAACTCGTTAAAATCATCCATATTATATAAGCTTTATACTTACACACAGAATGGTTCATATCCCTCCTGCAGACCACAGCATGTGAAGAATTTGAGCGTGTTAACATCTTGGCCAAGATTGAGTCTGCACTGCTGGTGACAGCTGAGGGTGACGGCGGGGACGTAAGGTTCCCCCGTCTCTACCCCTCGGAAGGCAATCTCCTGTCCCATGGAGTCCATCATCAGTTCACCATTCAAAGAAAACGCTGTAAGTAAAGAAATTTTGAATAATTCAAATTGTTAACTCCTAACTGATATCGATAGTTTACAAACAGGAAGGATAGCAGTAACTAGTGATCATGTGAAGTACAAGATGACTACCAGAGGGGGAGTGTATTACTTATTAGTTGGCACATTAGATAATTGAAAATTACTGCCCCCAGATCCAAACTCAGACTTACTTATGGTTTTGTCATTTAGATCCAGCATACATCCAATAACATCCCCAGTCTTCCAGAGTTTTCCATAAGGTTCAGCTCCATGATTCCATTTTCTTCCCTGTAGGGTTACATTTATATAAAGTTTGATGTACATGCACATATGAATGTCAGAAAGTCAATGCTAAGTAAAATAAGCTATGTCTTTCAGAATATGGTCTTTAATCACTTACCCCAAAGCCATCAAATGCATAGGAACTACCATCTATGCCCAGTTCTGTACTTGAATCAAGAGAAACCTTGGCCCAACCTACTTTCATGAACTCAGTCGTAATAACTTCAAATTCATAATACCTACAAAATAAGTGTCTTCACAGTTAGTATCAGCTATTAGGCTGTGTTATAAAATTTAAAAGTCAATTTGTGAAACAAAAAAACAAATTTTCTATTTTTTGAAATCATTGATATCTCACCATTTTCCAGATGTTACTCCATATGTATTTTCTGCTCTGTAGGTCCTAGTTTTGTTCAGTTTCTCCATTTTCTCACTGACATGAGCTAAACATAAAAAAATATGTAAAACAGTTAAAAATTGTAGTTAACTATAGCAAATACATACTAACTTTAGCTGAGAAATCATCATTATTTTTCTTTACATGTATATCTAATAAGCACTACTTTTGCTGACCTTTGAGAGAGCTTTCCCCCATTTCACTTGTGGGTGGTTCCAAGTTATAACCGTAAGCCAGCAATGTCTTCACAGTCTGGTTGGCTTCCTCCCTATAAATATCATCCAAATTATATAAATGTGAGAGCAAAAAAAGTTAAAGAATTTTTTTTTTTGCTATTCCCAAAATATTCAGTAAGGATTATACCTATTTGCTTTCTTGATTTTTTCATCGACTCTACTGTATGGTACCAAGAATGGGCTTCTTTTGTTTGCTGCATCCTACAATTGAGATATAACAAAGAAATGAGTATCTACAGTGGACCTTCAGATATCCGGACCCCAGATATACGGATGTTTCAGTCTCCGGACGATTTTTTATCGGAACAGAATTTTCAAATGTTATATTGTCTTGTTTAACTGGTGATTCAGGTATCCGGACGCTTCACATATCCGGACAAATTGACTAGGAACCAAAGTGTCCGGATAAATGAGGCTCCACTGTATATTACAAAGGTTTACTACACTGCCGCTTAAGAATTTTTTTTTAATTCAGTCTAGCCTCATTGATGTTTTTCTTTCCAGTACAGGTACTCAACAGTATTTTTTCAACTTTCACGACTTCTTTACATTAAATCGTTAATCAATGTGTCTACACTTAGTATTAGAATAACTCACAACTTTTTGAAATTGGAATCTAATATTCAAATAAAAGAGAATCCAAATGCCTGATAATTCAAGATGATATATAATATTCACACTCTGTCAATGCTTAACACACATCATTATAATGTTTAGTCATACCTCGTATAGTCCATAAGTCCAGCCATGTTTGATTCTGTCCTTGGCCCACACATTATGTGTGTTCTCTGCCAGCATGTCTACCAAATCCTCCAGGACCTCACTCATCTGTACAGTGGACAGGTCCAAAGGTGTGGGCTTGTAGCCATTGTTCTGCAGAAAGCTGGTAGACAAATATGACAAATAAATTTTAATGTCCATTTAAACTTCTCACTTTTTAATTAATGTTTCATATGTAAATGCCTCATCATCTGAGCTATCGGCAGTAGAATTATTATCTTTAAAGGGATTTGTTTGCAGACATCACACATGCATTAGTGGAGAACTTACTCATTGCCAAGTTTAACCATCTTAAGTCTGTTGTTTTCCTTCTTCTGAGCATCCATTGATATATGGTAACCAATAGCCAGAAGTGTCCTATAAAGCAAATATTTTATCATTTATAGACCTTGTCAAATGCTCCTTTCCAGGTCCATTAAAAGTGTTAGAGCAATTTAATATAGAACCCCAAGTTTTTACCTTAAAGTTTCATATGCCACAGTCACTACATATTTCTTCTCTGATTTGGGAAGTTTTTCAAAGTTGGTGAGAGAAGGATTGGTTTTCTTTTGATCGTCTCTGATTTCTCCATACTTCCAGCCTTGTTCTATTTTACTGACGGCCCAAATCTCATGCAAGTTCTCAGCTAAGCGGTCTCTTACTTTTTCTATGTACACTGGTAACTGAATCTGCAAAACATTTCAGTGATGTTTAGAGAGATAAACTAAAAAGGTCATTCAATAAATCCTAAATGTAGAGCAAAACCATTATTTACTTGTTCAGAATAAGAAGCAAGTATACAGTTAGAAAGAAACCTTAAACATTACTATAACATTTTTAAAATGGGATGCCGTATTATCTAGAACAAGCAGAATTTTCCTATTTGAAAGTGCAATGATTAATCCAGTCATATGATATTTCTTTCTCTCTGAACAGGTAGCTCATCAGCAATTTTTGAGAGAAGACAATCCCATTACCATCCATTAATTCTGAACTCTGACTTTATCCACTAGAAATAAAACTGATCTCTGTTCCTTGTCTATTTCTAAACAATAAACTGAACAAGAGAAACGATAATTACATTTGAGGTATCTATAGCTTTTGGCACAAAGGGAACATAGTCTGTAATTTCTGTTGGTCCACTCAGTACGTTCTTTGACACTTCTCCAAACACAAAGCAGGGGTCCAGTCTCAGCCTATCCCTGGGCATCAGGGACTCCACCACCGCCGAGTGACTGTGGGGTGGGCCGTAACTTAGTCGACCATGTTCTCCACCCAGCATGAAGCGGGCACTGTTCAAAATAAAAACCATAAACATATAGATTCACATTTAATACAGAAACATGTACAAACTTTACTAAAATATATAGTAAACAATATATATCAAGAACACTCTCTGAGATATAATTTGAGGTAATTCTTAAGTTCAGGGGTTTACTTTCATTTTCACAATCTAGGTCAACTTATAATTAAGTTGCCCTCTTCTGTTAATGATGTTAATACTATTTTACATTCTTTGCTTGACCTACCCAACTCTGGCAGACATAGTTATCACTGGGAAGAACAGTCCTGTCAGGTTGAAGTCTTTGAAGAAGCCCAGGACTTGTTTTCCATTGACAGAGAAGATGATCTGTGGGATAGTAAGGTCAATGCCACACCCAATGATGTCTCCAGGTTTAAAGGTATCCCCAGAACCCCTCACAATCTTACTCTTACCACCTATAAGAAAAATCAGTATACATGAATACTGCATGTAGAGATAGAGATACATTACTGTTATATCAAAAATATTTAATATATCCCTATGAAACTTGAAATGTCTATACATTACATTTTACTACAGTTCATATTTAAAAATCAATGACACAACCCAAACAGATATGCATATAACCTGTCCACAAGTTGACTCCATCAAATGCGTATGAATACAGATCATCCCCGATGCCGTTTCCCCCTTTGTGTTCCCCACCTCCTGGGTATGGTATGAAGCCCTCAGTGTTGGCCCAGCCCAGTCTGAGGACAGGAGGAAGATGATTGGCTGCCTCAAACTGAGTGACAACTACCTCAAAATACCACTTCTTGTACATGGAAGATCCCTCTTTAACACCAACATATATATTTGGCCTTATGCTGCAATTCAAATTCAAATACATGCATGCAAAATTTTACAC